CTCTTGCTCAGGCTGATCTCGAACTCCTGAGCTCAAACAATCTGCCCACCTCGGCCTCCCAGAGTGCTAGGATTACAGTGCCTTTATTTATTTTCTATAGATTGAAATACTTCCCAAGTAGCCTAGGCATGGCGGCATCGAAATATTTATTACATGAACATTCTATTTAGTGATGATAATTTCATCATAGAATTAATGTATAGAATTCATCATAGAATTAATGTATAGAAGGGGTCAGATCACTTCCAGGCTTTTTATAACTTTTATGCACAATGTACTCATTCTTAAATATTTACTTTGATTCATTTCTCATTTGATTTGAGTAAATCTTTGATTAGTCTCCCCACAAACACATACACCCTGAGGGATGTGGTAGAATAATTCCTAATTCCTTCTAGATCTGTGACTCTCCTCATTTCACATGTGAGTGATTGAATGGTTGGGTTTAGAATTCACATGTCACGGCAATTTCCCTTCAATCCCTACAGACATCGCTCTGCTGTTTGTTGTTACAGAGAAGTCACCTGAGGCCTGATTGATTTTTTTTTAACCTTTCTAGATAGCCTAATTTCTTTCTATCTGGATCCTGAAGAGATCAAGATTTAAATTAAATTTTTAAAATGCATATATGTTTAGATAATTGCTTTATTGCGTTATATGTCTCTGACACATGATGAGGATTTTTCTTATCCAAAAACCAGAGCTTTCATTGTCTTGAAAAAGTTTTCTTCCAGTATATTTGTAAATAATATTTCTATTTCATTTATCTGGATTTTTTTTCCTATGTAAGCTGAGATTCCATTTTCCTTGTGCGTTATACATACATTACCTCCTCTTTAATCATATTTTTATCACTTAATCCTCTTCCTCATCCTTCTTTGATAGTTTCTCAAGTTTATCCACAATATTTAGTTTTTTGTGTTTCAATTCAGCCCTTTAGTATTGCTAACGCTGTTACAAATGTACTATGTCACTATCAGTTTCCTTACTTTATTTCTCTACCTCTGCCAACTCATCTTTCACCTCATATTTTATAGCGTTTGTGTTTCTTTCAGTTAATTGAAAGTAAAACAAGACAATGTTTTTCACAATTGTTTGTTTCCTCTATGAAAGCTTTTAAATATATATATATGTATGTGTGTGTGTGTGTGTGCGTTATGTATGTATGCTCTTATTCTATCTCTCTATTCCTGTTTTCTCTTTATTTTAAGTTTCAGAATATTTGCATAGGTCCTATGTTGTTTTTTTCAATTTGCTGTTTGTTCTTAAGTAAAGAAAGGTCCATCCCATCAAGCTATTTGTCCCAAGCCAGTGAGGGTGGTGTCTCCTTGAGTACCCTCACAGTTTGCCTAAATGCTCTTAGATTTTTCCTCTCATTGAAAGCTAGATGTTCTAAATTTAGCATCATAATTCAGGTTACCTGCAGCCTGAGGGCTCTTTGTAGTTATTCAAGAAATTCTACCAGAGGTCAGCTTTCTGTGCATTTTTTTTTCTTCAACCTACCATTTCTTCACCTCAGGACCACAATGTGGATGTGTCCAGCATCCCCTGGTACTAGGGCCCCAGGCATCTGTAGAGACATCTACATCATGAGATGCCAGGCCAAGAAGCACCGGCGCTGCTGGCTCTCCGCCTGGTGTGAGCATGCCTGCCCCTGCTCTGGGCCTGTCTGGTGCTTGTCTGCTGCATTAAAATGCTTCCAATAAGGGGGCGACTTCTTCCACAGTGCACCATTGCCACCACTCTTGACCCTCAAAATTTGGATGTGTGAGGACTCTTCTGCCAGACTATCCTCTGCCTGTCTCCTGACCCAGGGTCGTGTTTTCTTCAGAAGAAGGTTTATAACTGGACCATCCTGTTTTTCTCCAATCTGGTCCTATCTATAACAAACCAAGCAGAAATTAGTCGAACCACCGTGGCTTAGTTGGTTTGTCACTAGTGCGTGATTCTTGCCAGTTTTATACGGTATTCCTGTGGCCACTTCTGTCTGATTCGGTTCGTTCCCATCCTCACATCACTGTCGTTCCCACAAACTTCCCTCTAAATGCTTGGCATCTGCCACTCTGCCTTTCACAGTGGTTGTCACATGGTAGGCCCCTGAACAATTTTAATAAGCAATTTCCTGGACATGTTCTCCAGTCCTTTGGCGTTGTTTCCATTCACAGGTGCAACGTCACCTTCCCAAACTCTTCGACAACATGGCCAAGATGCAGTTCCAGCTAGATGCCGGGGAGAAGCCAACCAAGACAAGTCTCGGCATGTACAGCAAAGAGGAAGAGTACGTGGCCTTCAGTGAACCCTGTGACTGCAGCGGGCAGGTAACGTTTCCCCTCCTTACGCCTTTCTCAAGTGGCTACATTCAAATGTGATCAGCATCAACTTTGCGGAGGGCTTTTCTGGCCTTGGTCCAGAGCTGCTGTCCCTGCCCTGGGACAGCAGCTTCCTTTGACTCGAACTGACATTGGAGCAGCCTCTGGTGCCCTGCTTTCCTCTCCCTGGGAAGGACACATGTCAACATTCATATCTTTTCCTTAACCAAAGACCTGTGCGGAGAGGAATAAAATGCACATAAACAACTACCCAAGTCAACGAGAAAAGGATTTTAAAATGACTAGTGGCACCAGGGGATGTTAACATGGCAACCCCTAGAGCACCCCGCAGGGGAATCTGGAACACTGACTCCTTCTCTGGGAGAAAATGCCCTTTGAAATCACCTACTTTCCTGAGCCGTCCCCTCCCTGCATAAATAACCCTCAGAGTCATTTCCTCCCACTGTCCTTCCCCCTGGAGAGCCAACTACCGCCCTGCTCCAGGAACTACTACCTCCAAATATCCACGTCCAATTCAAGGAACATGAATCATAGGACCATTTACTCCCTAAACCTCCTTCTCGTCCTTCAACAACACCACTAAGGTATTATAAGCCCTGCCTTGTTCATTATCCTAAATGATCCAGTAAAGCATTGATTCTGTCTAGTGCAGAATAACACCTGGAAAAGAGATCTTTTACAGGGTTCCACCTTTATCCACATAAAGTCTCTTGGAAAGCAATTCTAGTACCAGAAAATAATCAAAGGTTCTCAGTCATATTATGAGGGTAGCCCTGGGGTTTAATTCAGAATGTATTCTTTTTGTGTTCCCAGAAAGCATTAGGTTGGGAAATTCAATCCTGGCTTGCATCTCCATGTTCTTTGTGGGCAAGGCAATGCAAATCCCCTGACTTATTCACCCTTAGCTTGACCCAGGTTTAGACTTCATCGTGTGAACTCTGGGTGGCATCCCCCACCCGCTCTGCCCTGCATGTTCCACATGTGCATGTCAGCCGGTGGTTAATCACACCTTGTCCTCACTCATCACACCCTGGATTGCACAGACGATGTGTCTCCCTGTGCCTCCTGGCAGTCTTGTGGGGCTGTGTACCACAAGATGGTGGGGCTCCATTTTCTTCACTCCCTTGGGCAGAGGGAGAGAAAACATGTAGTGCTAATCAAAGCTTCTCAGGTGCCTATGTCTAACCCAGAGTTGCTCTTCCAGGTGGAAACATGGCTGAACCACGTGCTTGCTCACATGAAGGCTACTGTGAGGCACGAGATGACCGAAGGTGTGGCTGCCTATGAAGAAAAGCCAAGAGAGCAGTGGCTCTTTGACTACCCAGCTCAGGTATTTTCCCAGCGGGACCTCTGTGGGCCACATCCTCCTGGGCTCCCTCCCTCAGCCTTCAGAGGCTGCTGGCCCCCAGACCTGCTGTGTGCATCCCAGTCAGGAGGGGCTTGAATCCTAGATGGCTGTGCAGGGTCAGCAGGAAGGGTCAGGGGTGGACAGTCCTGACCTAGTTGAACCACAACCTTGGAAAAGCAGGAGTGATCTATTTTATCTCTCACTGGCTAGAGTGGGGAGAAAATTCTCCCTATTCCCAACTCTTTGAACTGGCCTACTTTGTGTGTGCCAAGCTCTGTGCCCTGTGCAGGAGACACCAGCAGGGAACAAGGCAATGTAACCCAACCTGCTGGAGTTTACAGGCTCACGTGGAACTCAACCACTCACAAATGTGACTGGTGAGATAAAAGGGGAAGCACAGCGTGCTCCGGAAGCACACAGCTAGTGAGCAGGGTCCGAGGACCACCCCCCTGCACATCTGATATGCAAGCTGAGGTTTGAAGTAGCAGTTAGCAGGCTAACCATGGAGGGAAAGAGCAACCAAGCACAGGGAGGGGCTGGGCGAAGGCTGGGAAGCAAGGGGAGCATGATGTGTTCAAGGGACTGAGTTTGGCTGAAGCCAGAGTAAGGGGTGAGGAGCAAGAGATAGCGGATAGATTCTAGAAGCCAGGTCTTACAGACCATGTTAGGGAGTCTAACTTGATTCTAAGATATATCTGAATTCTTTATAGGTTTCTCAGGAGGGTAACAAGAGAAAGGGAAGACCTAAGGAGAGTTTTTTAAGATGTAAAATCTGGCTCCAATATACCACCTCTTTCCCCAGTTAACGGCACAGTAGTGATATTAGTTTAGTTGGGGGTTGCAGACATTTGGTAGCAATCGAAGCCATAGGCGTAGATGCGATTGCTCTTGGAAAGGGTATAGAATGGGATGAGAGTGCAGAACAAGTCCCTGAGTGGCCTTCAGAGCCTGAGAAGGCAAAAAGAAGCAGAATGAGAAATGGTCTTTTTAGGCAGAAGGAAAACTGGGAAATGGTAATTACGAAAACCAAAATAGAAACTATTGATAGCAGATGAGGGGTCAGAAATGCCAAATGCTTTCACACAATCAAGCCAAATAAAGAGGGTGAAGAACGCCCATGGATGAACTTGGTGAGGTCATTTCAGGGGCGTGGTAGGGAAGAGGCCACATTGCCAAGGGTTGAGGAGGGGGAAGAAGGTGGGAAGTATGGACAGTGGACGTGGACGGCAGGGAGGAACTTGGAAGAAAAGAAGAGAAAGGTGTCAGCACTGTGGAGAAGAGGTATTTATTGACAGTAGAGTTGGTGCATCCCATCCAGCCATCCCAACAAGGCCACCAGTGTAAGAGGAACTTCTGTAACAAAATCTAATAGAACATAAACTCAAAGGTAGAAATGGATAAACTAAGGAATGGTACTATTTACTACAATGAGATTCTCTATTTCAACAAAAGGAATAATTTCCGTCAAGATTACTCATATACCTGTATCAGAATTCCGAGACAAGACAAGGTGTTGCTTCCTGCTAATACAATAGATGTCACCTACAGCAGTGTCTCCCAAACCAAATGATACTACAGATGAGTAATATTTCTAAATGCTACACCATGAATAATGAAAATTATTCATGTTCTATATAAAGTTTCCCAGCAAACAGAAGTATGTATTTGAATTGCTTTTTCCATGTATTTACTTTTAATCTCTGAAAAACACTGACCACACTGACTGTTGTTGTCATTCACCTTGGCTTCCAAAAGGAGGCATTTTAGGGTTACAGGTTTAGAAAAATGAAAAAAAAAAAATGTCTTGAAAGTCTTGTGGACAAGCAAATGCATGCCCCAGAGGGTCAGCAGGCCTCACTAAATTAGAATATTGGACCACAAGGAGAAGAACAAAGCAAAGACTGGGTGTCACTGAGATGCTCAGTCAACATATCATTATCCTCCGAAGCACAGGAGGAAGATGCTGCCTCTGCAAAGTAAAAGACTTTATCATCAGTATAGCAATTTTCAGAAGCCACTGACGTTGACCACAGTTAGTCTTTGGTTGTTCTCAAACAAATGATACATTTTTCAAGAGCAGGAAGTGTTTTTCCCACTTACACTGTAACTACTTCACATCTTCAAGGGCTGGAGCATATGGTTCACTTAGTTGATGCTGATGGCAGAGGGAGCGAAGGGGCTTATGTCACCCACACAATTACATCTAGAGCCCTTACTGTGTGGTGAGTGGGCTGGTTGGAAACAGCCGTGGTAACAGCTTTGCTAAGTGACTCTTGGTACCATAGGTGGCCCTGACCTGCACTCAGATCTGGTGGACGACAGAAGTGGGCATTGCATTTGCCAGGCTGGAGGAAGGCTATGAGAATGCCCTGAAGGACTATTACAAGAAGCAAGTGGCCCAGCTCAAAACCCTCATCACCATGCTGATTGGCCAGCTCTCCAAGGGGGACCGGCAAAAGATCATGACCATATGCACCATCGATGTGCATGCTCGGGATGTGGTGGCCAAGATGATTACTCAGAAGGTGAGTCCCAAACATCCAGAGGTGTCCCTCTCTGTGTACAGCTATGCCATAGGAGTTGCTCACACATGGCCAAAACATGGGGACCCCAGTGTCTTCCCAGCACTGGGAGGATCATGGTGGCTGCTCCTACCTTTTAAAAACTCAGCAAAACAATGTAATCAGAGCAGCTTGTGCTTTCTGTGTGGTGGTGGTCACAGCACACTGCTCTCTTGAGCAACAGAAAACACCCAAGCCTTCCAGGCTCCTATGTGTCCTGTGGCCCAGAGGCCACCTGCTCCCTGTTGAACGCTATGGTTCACCTACCTACTTTGCCAACCTCTCTATAGGTAGACAATGCCCAGGCTTTCCTCTGGCTGTCCCAGTTGCGCCATCGTTGGGATGACGAGGTCAAACACTGCTTTGCCAACATCTGCGATGCCCAGTTTCTGTATTCCTATGAGTACCTGGGAAATACGCCTCGTCTGGTGATCACACCTTTGACTGACAGGTGAGCATTGGTGTCAGCTACTGACAACCCTAGTGCTGTCTGATTCAGACTATCCAGTGACTGTCCAGGGTCAAGGTCACCGTCACTTGCCATTTGTCCACAGAGCTGCAAGGGAATGTCCTGATTCAACCAGCATATTTAAAATGAAACTGAGAGGATGTAGGGCAGAGCCTTTCTTTGGAACAAACCCCAGAGAGCAAATCAATAAGCCGTGACTTTTTGAGGAAGCACTTGGCAGTCACACACACCTAACACCAGCTCTAGTGCACAACAGCTGTTTGACCATGAAAAAAAAAATTGACCTAATTATTGGTTTCCTCATCTGTGAAATGATGATTTTTGTAAGGATAAAAGACAGTAAAGGTTATAAAGAGTTTAGTATATAGTAAGTGTTTAGTAATGGTTCCCTATTATTATTTTCTTATCAGTAGATCAATCAACTGGCACATTTATTCAGTACCTCTCACTCTGGGAATACAAAGATAAAAGCAAGGCAGTCCCAACCATGAAGTAGCTCACAATTTTTTAGGAAGACATATTCTCTGTCATTCATTTTAATTCACACACGAATGAATTCACACCAGACACTGAACTGATCACTGGGAATACCAAGGTGATGAAAACGTTTCCTTCCCTTAAATTCCAATTCTACTGAGGAAAATGAGACATATGTAGATAAAAATTTAAACAGCACAAGGGGAAAAAGTACAAGGCCATAGGATAAAATAAAGTTCAAAACCGTTGGCTACAAATTTCTAAGCAAGTGACTCAGCAGCAAGCCCTCTGAACACAGAGGGTTCACAGTGAGACCAAGAGAACTGGAGAAGCTTCAGGAAAGAGACGGTATCTGATCTGGTCCTTGAAGGACATATTGGATTCCAGTAGGATTTCAGTAGGTTGTAAGATTGTCATCAGGGTGTCCATGAAATCATGCAGAAATCTGTTCATGTGTCACTGTTTCCATTAAGAGGATATATAGCCTCCATCAATTGTTAAGGTAATCTAGATTCCACAAAGTTAAAGAGCTACTGATAAACATTCCTAGAAAGTGGTATACTGTGGCCAAATCATGTAAATGGGAAAACTCAGATGTGTTCCTGGGAGAGGGAGTGTAGACTCTTTTGACTTTGGGGGAGGTCATCAGCCATAAAGGAGTCAGACAACAGAGTGTGAAGAATATATTCTTTATCCATAAGTCGTGATAAACTATTGGAAAATTTTCATCAGAGGAGTAAAATGATGAAATCTGTACTTTATGGAGATTTATCTGATGGCAGAACACAGGCAAAGGAGAGAGAAGGCAGGGAAACAAGGTCATGGTCTGTGTGAGAAATGATATTTTAATTCTGCTGAGATTTCTGTGAATTCTGCTAAGAATTCATGCCCTTTCCTTATAATCCCATTGACCATTAAATCTCCTTTTTTCCAGAAAGAGTTGTATATTTGAATGACCGCCTCTTTGAAAGAAATGACTTGTAGGTAATGAAGAGATTGTCATAAATTGTGAAGGTTAAAATGGCCAGATAGAATCTGTGCCATCTTTTACTTAATTTCTCTGTGCCTATTTTCAGTGATGTTGCCTGTATTTTAGTCAAATCCTCATATATATTTTCAAATATCTGATAAATATTTCCACATCAGTTAAATTGCAATCATTGTGGTCTCAGAACGAATAAGGCATAGGAAGTCCAGAGTGCCTGAAAATCCCAACATGATCTGTGGGTCAAGACCTCCCAGCTAAACAGTCATGGTCAAGATGGCTCATCTCCCTTGTGTTTTCTGTTTCTTTAACTCATTTTCCTGCCCAGGCTGGAAAGTTCTTCCACCCAGAGTCCCATTGCTCCCCTCTTTCTTGTGGGACCCTGTAGAAGTCACATCACCATTTCTAGGAGCTCCCCGCTACCCTTAGACTAAAACCTGAACTCCTCATAGGACCTGGTAATTCCTGTCCACTGCCCTGATGCCTCACTCCCTACATTTCCACCACACAGTCTCCTTGTTAATCCTTGATCACTTGAAGTTCGTTTCATCTTGGAGCCTTCACACACATGGTTCCTTCTGCCTGGAACACCCTTCTCCACTGGCACCTTCTGATCCGCTGTTCTCCTCTCAGTTCCATGAGGCCTTCCCTGACCACTCTTTCTAAAAGGCAGCTTCTCCCCACTTACACACACCCAGAAGATAACCTTGAGAGATCCCCCGTTTATCTTCTTCCTAACATCTCTCCCATTCTGAAATGACCTTGCATGCTTGCTGTCTGCATTGCCCTTTGGAGTCTAAGCTGCTTGCAGTCAGAAACCTTTGTCTGTCTTATTTGCTGTGATGTCACCAGCACCTACCTAGTAGGTGTTGAATTACTATTTGTGGAATGAATGAATGATGTTTGAATGTCAAACGCCCAGATCATCAGCATAGACAGAATCAAGAAGGGGAAGTTGACTTAGGGGAAGGATCTACCCAGGACTCCATCTGCATCTTGGCTCCCGAGGAGGAGGAAGGAGCAGCTCCTCTGCCTTTTGAGCTCAGCTGGAAACCCACCCTCCTCCCCACCTCAGCTTAAGGCAAACGCAAACAACACCTGTTTAGAGGAAGAGGTAGCTCTCTCTGCAGCTGGAATGACAAAGGCAGCAGCAACTCTCCGTGGGGTTGGAGTCTTAAGGTTTTATTTGGCCTTTAAGTGGGCCCCACGAGTGGGAGGGGCTCATCCAGTGTGCGTTAAAGGAAAAGTTTTCTCACCTTTTCATTCAGACCGGACCCTGTCCAGTGTCTTTGTCTTTATGAAGATTCTCAGCAAGACATCCATTGTTAGCACAGGGGAGTATGGTAGAGTATTCCTGACTGCAGTGAGTTTTTCTGCCTGCCTTGGAATGTGAGTTTTCGGATTTTATAGCACTTGGAACAGAATAGTGAAGCCATTATATATTTGAACAATTTGATTAATGTTCGCCTCCCACTCTAGACTATATGTTCCGTGATAACATTGACTTTCGTCTGCTCTCTGCTCTACTCCCAGGACCTGGCACCGTGTCCGCACATAATAGGCATTCAAGAAATGCTCCTCGAGTGAACGCAGCAAAATGATTTCTGAGCCTCTAGCAATGTACCTAGCTTCCCTATACCATCCAAATATTTCCTTCCTTCCACTGACATATCAGACGTTGTCACTCCAAATGATAGAAAGTACAAGACTTTTCTTTTCCCTGGGCCTTAGCACCTGCCTGGGAGTTAAAGAAGATAATTACCTCTTTTAGACTGAGAGTTCTCTAGTACCCAAATGCTGAATGCCTTAGAGAGGGAAAGGGTAAAGTTTTGACAATGAATTATTTCTAGAACAGGGATTTATCACCTCTTCTGTGAAATGATGCAAATAAGAACTTGAAAGGAAGATTTGCTGCAAATAATGGTGAATACTATATAGACCTTAACCTCGTTTGCACATGAGATGCTTTTCTGACAAAGTAGTATGTAGTGGAATACTTATACGGGCAAATTCCAATCTCTCATTGACTTCCATTATTATCTCAAGAAATGTTTTGCCCAGAAAAAAAAATTGTCCTCAACACAGAAAATCACATTTTAAAAAGCATTCAGCCTTCACTGGTGTGTAGCCTAAGTACATTTAATTCTCTCCGGCCAGAAGAATTAATCAAATGGACAATTGATCCGTACACCCTCTGCACATTCATTAAAAGCACACCCGTATTACAGTACATCCGACCGACTATGCCTATTTCTCTGGAATTTCCCACTGCCCGGATGGGACTTGAATATGTAAGTAGGTGCAATGGCTTAGCCCTTGTCACAGGACTTTGGCACAACACTAAGTTGAAGAACGAAATAGAAGTGCTTTTTCAGGCTGAACAAAAGCAATTCTCATAAGTTGTTGCTTGACCTTTGGATGATCTCCACTTTGCTTCCTTTCCCTCTCCTTCACACACAGGTACCCCTTTCTGCCCTGGGCTGTGTGAAGCACTGTTTTAATCAACTACTTATCAATTTTGAGTACCCCTTATTTTCTCAAGAACTCCCGCAAGTAGGTGAAATATAATTGGTGCAAGAGTCTTTGAAAGTGATTTGCTGGACAAGGACACAAATAGCAAACGTCGTACAATTTTCTTTTTAAGTTTTTCTCTGATGTTTTTATTGGAGAAAATCTGGAAAACTTAGTAATATGTAAAAAAGAAAATAAAAGTCACCCAGAGATAGCCACTCTTAATATTTAGTCTGTTTCCTTCTACATGTAGATTTTGAAAAATGAAATTGAGATCACATGCTGTATATAAAATATCATAGATTGCTTGTTTTATTTAACATTGTATTGTGCATGTTCTTTTTTGTTTTTTTTAACATGCAGACTGATAGAAATATTCTCTAAATATTCTTCTAAAACACTTTAATAGTTGAATTGTAGTCTATTTACAAGTATCCTAGAATTTATGTAACATAACCAGATTATTGGTATTTAAGCTATATCTAAGCTTTTACTATTAAAATTGAAACTGTATAAACTCACTTGCATGTAAATTTTGACTAAATGTCTTTTTATTTCCTTATGATAGATTCCAAGAAGCAGAATAATTAGATGATACATACTCTAAATTGTTCTTGAAAAACAATGTTGTTACCACCCTCATGAGTAGTTTATGAATGTGTTCATCACACAACACTCTGATCAGCATTAAGTATTACTGTTACAGTTTTACTAATTTTATCAAAATTGTATCTCGCCTGGATTTGGATGTCCTTAATTATTCACAGGTTGAGCATTTTTATGCGTTTATTGGCTACTACATTTTCTTTTCCTGTGAATTATTTATTGCTGTCATTGCCCATTTTCCTCTGGGGTGTTCTTTCATTACTTTTATGCTTAGAAAGTCTCTGCTCATTTCAAGATCAGTTCAATAATCACCTATATTTGTTTCTCTTAAATTTGACTTTGTCGGGTCTATCCTATGATTTTTAACTGTTAGCATTGTTTAGAATTTTGGTCAATCTTCTATTAATCAATTATTTCTTAGTTCAAGTTAAGCTGAGTTTTGGGCATGCCACTGGAGGCTCCTGCAGGTGGACATTGTCACATTCATGTTCATTCCTTGGTCATGGTCACTGAACCGTGTGGTAGGCAGAATTCTAGGAATGACCCTCCCACCCCCCGCCATGACTGTCACCCTTGTGTCATCCCGCCCTTTCAAGTGTGGGTAAAAACTGCGACTGTGATACCATGCCCATGGCTGTGTGTGTTGTATGGAAGAGGGAAATTATTCCGGTGGACTTAATGGGATCATATGAGCTTTTAAAAGCAGAGCTTTCTCCTGGCTGAGGGCAGACGGGGATGTCAGAGAGATCTGAAGCACGAGAAGAATGTGACCTGCCATTGCTGGTTTTGAAGCTAGAGGAGGCCGTGTCCAAGGAAGGCAGAATGGCCTTTAGGGGCTGAGAGATCCCCTGGCCAACAGCCACCAACAGGGACCTCAGGAGTGAATTCTGCCAAGAACCTGGATGGGTTTGAAAGGAGATTCCTCCCTAGAGTCTCCAGACGAGAGTCTGGCCTAGCTGGTCATCCATGATTTTAGCCGCATGAGACCCTAAGCAGAAAACCCATCTTGATTTCTGACCTACAGAATGGTGAGATATTAAATGAGTGTTATTTTAAACCACCAAGTGTGTGGCGGTTTGTTACTCAGCAATAGAAAATTGGTATAAACCAACTATGCTTTCACCAACTCTAAGATTATCCAGACCACATTTCTGTGCTAGCCACAGGCTAGGCTTAGCTGAAACCAAGATACAGCATCTTTGACATTTTCTTTATCCTCCAGTTGAATAACTATCAAAAAAAGAAAAGCTGAATTTCATATATTTATTACTTCGAAAATAATACCTTGAAAGTGGACCGGCTTTCTACTTTTCAAGGTACTTTCAAATCTCTTGTCTCATTATCCTTATGAGATCTTGGTGGGGAAGATGAGAATAAAACCTCTAGAAGTCATTTGCCCAGAGAAAACTACTTTTAGCTCAATGTTAGGAAGCCCTTTCAAACAATTAGAACTGGCCCACTGTGTAAGGGGCCACCTTCTAGAATAATAAACTGGGCCTTGCTGGCAGAAAAGGCTTCATGATCGTATTTGAAGGAGTTAGTGGGGGAGAGCCGGCATGATGAAGGAGTCAAACCGCCTCACCTTTGAGGTCTCTTCTAACCCTAAAGGTTCTGCGTTCCCACTGGAACAAACTAAACTGATCACGTCTGTGTTGGGGTTCATTGGTTATTCCGGATCTCTTCTCAAAGGATTCCTTGCCATTTTCACAATTGCCATTCTTTTTGAAGCAGCAAATTTATCTAACTTCCTTTGTACAAAGAAAATAGGATGTTATAGATCTCAATGATGCCTTTTTTTTTAAGGCACAAAGAAATTTTAATAACTTGGCCAAGTCTCACAGACACTTCATAGTGGAGGCGAGGTTTGAACTCATTCTGAGTCCAGAGTCCTTGCCATAAACTGCTACAGCACGATCTACTGGCCCACGCTAGAGAGTAGGAACAGATTGAAGGAGCTGGCTTGGGTATTCAAGGAGGTGAGTACTCTAACAAGACCACAGATGGAATCACAGAGCAGGGCTGTATCCTGAAGGACTAGGACCAGCCCAAGCATCATGGCAACCTCTCCAGGGGCAAAAGGAAATGCTGCTTCTTTCTTTTTTGTGTTTTTTCTCATGGCCTAAGCTCATTAGATAGCCTACTTCCCCTCCCTGAACCTCAGTCTACCCATCTGTAAAATAGAGGGATTGGATGAGTTGATTTTGGAAATCCCTTCCAGCTCTTAAGTTCCGTTATAATAGGGAGAAAAATAATAATATTTTGATGTTTTCCCCCAAGTGCTTTCTGGAGACAATAGAAGCTTGGTAGATGCTCGAAAAGAGATTAACATCCGGTTCCAGGGATTTCTTTCAAGGAATTCTTGAGTTTTTCTATGAGAATTCTATCTTTGTGAAACCTTGCACTTCCAGATTCCCAAATTCCTTGAGAGCCCCGCAGCTCCAGAGAGCAGAGGCTAGTGACAGGCCTCTGGCCGGCAGAGGGAACAGCCATGGGACAGGAAGGGGGTGGGAAGGAAGGTGGAGAGGTGAGTTGTCTGGCGGTGAAGACTCTGCTAGTTCAGGTCGCTGCCTTTCCTCCTGGGAGGCACAGGCTGCCGTAGGCCCCGAGCAGTTCTAAAGGAAGCCTGAGGCTGGCAGAGGTAGAAGGCACCGGACCAATCTGGAGCCAAAATCTCAGAAGCCAGGAGGGCAGGTGCAGTTAAGGCTGCACATAGGACTCTGTGAAGATCTATCTGTGAACGTTTGGGAGAGGAAGGAAATGTCACTCAATGGTAACAGTGGCCAAGAAGGACAAGAGGAGACCCAACTTTTTACCTTAACCCCGACTCACCTCACCTTGCCTCATGGCCCATGTGAAGGTCAACGTTCTAATGTCAATAGGGAAAGTGAGGCAGCTGCACGAGCCCGGGTGGCCAGGGGTTAAACACAGCCTAAGTTCCCATGATCAACTGAGTCAACTTATTCCATTATACAGGCAAGCTGGCGATGGGGTAATAATTCCACACACCTCTCCTCTCTGCCTGGGAGACTGCCTGCCTGGGTTTTACTTTGAAAGGCTGAAATAGATAATGGAATTTTGCACTTAATTAAAGGGGGAAAAAAGGAACTTACTTCAAGTCTTCTCAAAACCATTTTGATTCTAGACTTAGTGAAGTCAGTAGAAACCCCGTCACCATCTGGCATGAAAGGCACTAACTCAGAGTACCTGGTCATCTCAAGACATCAGACTCAGAAACAGAATTAATTTTGGAAGGCCCCTGAGATGATCCAGACTGTATGCCAAGAGTCTACGTATTGATTTGCTAGATATTAAAAAGTTAGACCAATGACACAATTTTAACAGCTTTATTGCGATATTGAGATATAATTTACATGCCTTAGGGTTCACCTGTTACAAGTGTACAATTCAATGATTTTCAGTAAATATAGAGTTGTGCAACTATCACAATAACACAGTTTTAGAGCATTTCCTTGGCTCTATTTGCAGTAAATTCCTGCTCCCACCCCAAAACCCAGACAGATCTACTGGCTGTCTTTATTTGTCTTTTCTGGACATTTCATATAAATGCAAGGACAATATGTAATCGTTTGTATCTGGCTTCTTTCACTTAGCATAACGTTTTTAAGGTTCATCTATTTTGTAGCATGCTCAGCACTTCATTCCTTTATACTGCTGAAAACTATTCCACTGCATGGATAGACCACATTTTGTTCATCTATTCACTGGTGATGGACATTGGCTTATTTCTAGTTCTTTGCTGTTATGAATATTGCTACTATGAACAAGGGCTATGAGCAGGTGAGTATTGTACTATTCACAAGTCTTTGTGAGAATATATGTTCTTATTTAGCTCAAACAAATTCCAAAGAGGGGAGTTGCAGAATCACATGGTATCTTTTACTTTTAAAGAAACTCCCAAACTGACTTCCAAAGTGGCTGTACCATTTGACCTTCCCACCAGCAATGCATGAGGTTTCCAATTTCTCCACACCCTCAGCAACACTGTAACTGTCTGTCTTTTTGATTCTAGCCATCTTAGTGGGTGTGTAGTTGTATCGCACGGTGAATTTAATTTGCATTTCCCTCATGACCAATGATATTGAGCACCTTCTTATGTGCTCATTACCCAAAGGAACATCTTAAACCAACACCAAATGGAAATACAAGGTCTTTTTAAAAGTGCTAGAAATAAGCTTGAAAATAAGTTTATCTTATTGTCGTTAGTAAATATAGTCACAGAAGGAATAAATAGATTGAGTGATCCATTCATTTACAGATTCATTCACGTGTTTCATAAATACCTGTTGAAGAAGTGTATGTGCTAGAGCTATGCCGTTCTGGAGATGTAAGAAAAAGCAAATAAAACATAGCCTCTTCTTCATGTACCTTATGCAGACATTTCTAGAAGGTGTATATGATAGATACCATGGGAAGTTAAAGTGGAGTAGGAGCTCAGCTGCAAGAGCAGCTACTCACTCACTCCAGTATTGGGGGACCTGGGAGCACTTGTAGTAAGTAATGTCCAATGTGAGTTCCGAGCGCTTAGTGAGCATTAGCCAGGTGAAGCTTGAAGAGGATCATCATCCAGGTAGACGCAAAGGGTTGGGGGCTGGGAGGGGGAGAAGAGGGGAGAAGCATGGTGTGGGTGTGTGAAGCAAGTGGACATGGCTCTGTATGGCTGGACTTCAGAGTGTTGGGGTTTGTGGGAGGGGAGAGTGAGAAAGGAAGCTAGAGAGGTCAGCAGGGAAAGACCAAGAAGAGCCCAACAGAGAGCCACCGACACCCTTTAGAGAGGGAGTGTCCTGGTCAGATTGCTCTCTACGAAGTCCTCCCCGCAGCACTGGGGCAGCAGATGAGAGTGGGGGTCTCTGGGCTTTCCTTTGCAGAAGCCATGTCAGGCCTCGCATGGCCTTGGACTTCAGCCCTGTCTCCCTGGGCCCCAGCAGGGCCACCTGGGGCCCTGAGGATGACCTGCACTCTCCTATGTTTGGCAGGTGCTACATCACCCTCACCCAGTCTCTGCACCTGACCATGAGTGGGGCTCCAGCAGGACCTGCAGGCACAGGCAAGACCGAGACCACCAAGGACCTGGGCCGCGCACTGGGTGTCATGGTCTATGTGTTCAACTGCTCAGAGCAGATGGACTACAAGGTACAGGTCGACTCCGCTTTGGGAGGGATTAGAAATCAGGCAGCTGCCCAAACCAGGGACAGGTTCACCTTTGCTACCGCTCCCCCAGGTCTCAAAGCCCAGATGAGGAGGTCTCTGTGTGCTCCTTCGTTGTAGATCTGAGGACCTCTGAGCCCTAGAGCTCGTTGGCCTCCCTGTAAACCTTTGATGTGACAAGGAGGCACAGCCCCGTGGATTACGATTCCCCTAACGAGCTCTGCGGTCACAGATGGCACATTTCACCTCCTGGGTCTCTCTTTCATCATCTGTAAAATGAAGAAACTGAATATATATCCAAAGTCCTAAGTTCACTATTTGACCTAGAAGCACAGAAAGCCTTGTGAATAGCTGACACGGAGATGCTGTCTTCACATAATAGCTAGATGTGTTTGTGCTCTTCTGTACATGTGGACATTGCCCAGATTGTCTACAGGAACAGAATGTTCTACAAGTGCAGGTGTGATCTGAAAACAGACTAGATCAACCCCCACCCAGGGCACAAGAGGTGCCCACAGAGGACAAGTGCAAAGCTAATGTTATTCATTCAGGCGCCCATCATTTTTTAAGAAGTAGTGTATTCCAGGTTCTGTGTCACAGAGAAAAAACTAGAGAAACAAAACGCCCATGAGGTCACTTTTTAGCTAGAAACATTCTGCTTATATCTAAACCTGATTCATATTCTTTTAAAAAACCACGTAACGACAGATTGCCTCACTGTGTCATTTTTATTTTTTTGTATGTTTACGTAAAGTGCCTTAAAGTCCCTTTTGTTAACAGGATGACATGTAAATAAATTTAGAGTGGAAAATATAAAATAATGGCATTAAATATATTAAATATTTACATATATAGTCATGTGATTATATCGATTGTAAATAAATTTAATGTAGAAATAAGTTTAGAAATTGCAAGATCACACTTACAGTTACCATGTAGAGGATTCTTTAAATGAGATTTATCCTCTATAAGTTTAACTTCTGCAGTGTATAATCCTGCTGTGCAAAGAGTCGCAGCATTCTGTGCTGCCAGGTTTTCTCACATCAAGCAAACAAAATGAGGATCCAGACCCCAGATACCTGTTTTCCCCATGGTCTTCAACCCCTACATTTTAGCACGGTTGCATTTATTGATGAACACATCAAGACAATGTTTCTCTTTAAGTCAGGCTGGAAGAAGAAAGATTTTTTTCCCTTTAAAGAAATAAACTAAGTCTTCAGGATTACTTTAAGTTTCTAGATTCGTCTATAGTTCAGCAATGGCAGCATTGCTGAAATAAGTATAGTCTCCCAAGGGAAACATTCTGAAAGACACACTCATTTGGATGTAGACATGGTGTATTGATTGAAGAAACGCAGCCAAATTTCTTCCAAGCCATGCCCAGCATAGCAAACAGGAAAAGATGAGCTGACCCCACAGCTAGAAGTCACTAAGGCCATTTTACTTCATGCTTTCAAAACTAATCACTGAACCCTAACCCCACCAATTCCTCCAAGAGCACAGAGTGAGAGGGGGGTCTGTCCTTTGTTCGTTGGAACTGTGAGCAAAGCTTTGGTCATGTGTCCTAGGCTAGTCACAGATTACAGCAACGCCAGCAAGTACAGTCATAATGAAACACACCAGAATGACGGTGATCCCTTCCCAGACACCACACATCCCGTGTAACCAAACAGCCTCACTAAGCTCTTTGCAGACCTCCTCTCCCCTCTGTTGTCCAGCTGTTCATAATTATTTTTTATCATAAAACAAGCAACCGTGTTAATTTATCAAGTATTGCCATGTGTTGGGCATCATGGGAGGACACCAAAAATAGATAATATATAAATATAGATGAATACACAGATGATAGATGATAAATGATACAGGGATGATTGACAGGTAAATCAATAATAGATAGGTGATAAATAGATGGTAGATGGATTATAGATAGATAAATGGTAGATGGATGATAAATAGACAGGCACAGATGGATGGGGTATAACCCTGTCTATTTGGAGGGACAAAAGATATATGAAATAATTAAGTGAGCTACGGTTAGCACCCGGATAGCATAATCCTGAGTACTCATGTGTGCTCTACAAACTCTAGGCCCTGGAATACTCCAGAGTAGGGGGAGCCACTGAGTGTGCTGGTCCAGGGAGACATTGTGGAGGACATGAAACCCAACCAAAGCTGTTTCAATTTGGGAGCTAGTGCCAAACAGGGCATGCGGCATTTCAATACAGTCTAACCTATTAACATGTCAGCTCTAACACCATGAGCAAGTTCTATCTGTAGCCGATGTCCATCCCCCACCTTTCCTCTGACTTTGCCCCTGAGCCCTGCTAACAGGGCTGGCTGGGACGAGGAGAGGGAGCAAGTGAGGCTCAGGAAGGGCTGTCATTTGTATGTTCCAGGGCCATCTCGATGTGTCTTTCATGACACTTACAGCAATGCATTCCGTTCACGTCTCTCCAGAGCAAAAGCTAGAAATGGACAGGGAATGAGGACGGAGCTGTCTTAGGGAGGACTGAGGAACAGGAGGAGCAGGGTACTTGGGTTGAGAAACGAGAGAAAACACTGAAGGCCACTGGGTGCATCTTACCTTGATGGGGCTGCAGGCTTCTGAACAGGAGCGACAGCACAGGGATGGGACAGCGGATGGACCGGGTCAGGAAGAGACTGGGAGGAGGAAAAGCCTTTGGTGAGAACACTGCAGTCATTCAAGCCAGAGGGGAGCAGCAGCTGATGGGGTAGTAGAGAAGGAAAAGAAAGATTAAGGGGCTTTAAAAAAAAAAAAGACAAATGATACCTGGGGACATGGTGACGCAAAGGGAGGAGTTGGGAGAATTTGGGCTGTGTCAGGGACCCATGCTGTCCCCTCTGTCTCAGCCATCCTGTAAGGGGCACCCGCCCATTTAGCTCCGGGAGGAGTGGGGGTGCTCGTGGGCTGGGGTGGATACAAGGTCAGTGTGCGGACGGGGGGGGAAAAGCGAAGGTTATTGCTTTACTATCAGTGCTAGTCAGAAAACCCATAAAACTAGCCAATTTCTCTGGAAATGCTTGCAGTTTTAGTGCTGAAATGTCCTTTATATTATAGAGGCAATACTTTCCCCCTTGACCTCAATTTGGAGAGGCCATTGCAGGAGCACCAAATGGTTTTGAACCCGAGAGTGCTTGGAATCGTTGCTGGGGCCTCTCTGCAGCGGCCACACCGCGGAGGCGGCACTTAATCTTGAGACGCCCCGCGCTTCGCTTCTGAAACATGGCACTTCCACGGTTCTCCTCCTGACTCTGAGCTCCTGACTTCTCGATCTCATTGGCTGGTCCTCTGTCACCATGTCCAGTTTGACGTGTGTGCTGATGGCTCCCACCTCTCTTCTCCGGGTTCCCCCAAGTTCTAGTCTTGTCTCTCTCTGACAAGTGGGCGTCACCACAGGGATGCTCTTCTCTCGTGTTGTGGTTAACACTCCACCTTCCTCCCTGCCACGCTCCTTATCCCATCAGGAATGAGCATCTCATTTTCCCCGAGATCCTGGTGGAATCTTAAGACATCCTCATTGTTTCACGTCCCTCCTTTCCAAGCTCTGATCAGTCACCAACGTCGATTCTCCTCTCACTTCCAGGCCTTTGGCCCTGTTCTTCTCGCCATTATCCTAATCCAGATGTCCCCATCCCATAGCGAGGCCACACCACAGCCTAACAGTACCAGGAGATGCATGGTGGGATAAACACATGGGGTGATGTAGAGTCCTGGGGTTCAGCCACAGGCTCACATGGGATAAAGCGTGGGGTAACAAGCATTTGCCTATGAAACTCCACTTTCTTTTATTTTGTATATTGGGTTTCCATTTTATGAAAGGGATCCACAGTTTTAAAAGCTTCCAAAACTGCTGTTAGGCATGGATTTTTTAACTCTTTTTAATTGATATATCATAATCATGCATATTTATGGGGTGCATGTGATATTTTGATACACACATACTGTGTGTAATGATCAAATCAGGATATTTAGGAGATGCATCACCTCATTTTTCATTTCTTTATGTTGGGACCATTCCGAATCTTTTCTTCCAGCTATTTTGAAATATACAATAAATTATTGTTAACTATAGTCACATTATCATGCTATTGACCACAAAAACTTATTCCTTATAATTGTATATTCATATCCATTAACCGACCTCTCTTCCTCCCCCACTCCCCTCCCCTCCCCAGCCTCTGGTAACCACCATTCTACTCTCTGCCTCCATGAGATCAACTTTTTTAGCTGCCACATATGAGTGAGAACATGTGATATTTGTCTTTCTGTGCCTGGCTTAATTCACTTAGCATTATGTCCTCCAGTTCCATCCACGTTGCTGCAAATGACAGGATTTCCTTTTCATGGCTGAAAAATATTCCATTGTGTATATATACCACATTTTCTTTACTCATTAAACCATTGATGGACACATGGGTTGATTCCATTATCTTGGCCATTGTGAATAGGTAAGCATGGATTTTTATTTCTGAATTTCCATTTAGTATTTGTACACTTGACAGGTTGATATAAATCTATATACATATACACATAAATATGCATATATATGCATATGTGTGTATAGACACAGGTGGCGAGATATATATATCTACCTGTAGGATTGTTTTGAGAATGAAATGGAATAATTTAAAGCACACAAACACAATGTCTGGAATTTATATCACTTCTTCAGAGAGAAAATCCCTGGCTACTCTATGACAGTCCTCATTCTAAGACTCCAGTGGGACTTTATCACTGTCTGAATTTTTGTTGTTGTTGTTCATTGTTTTCCTCACTAGAGTGTATGGCCCATGAAAAGAGGTGTTGTCTATCTTGTTCACAGCAGATTCTTCATGAACTAGAACAATTTCAATAAATGTTTGTTGAATGAATAGAGAAATCCACTAATTCCAGTAGCTTAATAAAAGGTGGGATGCATTTCTCCCTCCTTCCTTAAAGTCTGCCCCGCATCCAGCCTATTGCATATTAAACTGATTCTCCAAAAATGTTGCTTTAATCATGTTCGCTGCTCCAAACCTCCAAAGATCCCTCAGAATAACACAAAGATTTTGTAAACAGGATTTGCTTCTGTAATTCAACTTTCCAATCAAAATGGTACCTTTATTTTTCTCTGGACACGTCATTATTTTGCTCATCATTCTTCCATGATCATTCCTCCTCCTTGAAAGCCTTTCCCTGCCCCTTCTATCTACACAGACACTCCTAGCCTGAGAAGCCATCACTTCCCATGTGTGCTCGAAAGTGCAAAGCCCTTGTGAGTAGCACTACCCCAGATCTTATGATTATATTCTTACAATCTTTCCACTATACCAACATTTGCCTGAATGCATTCTGAAAAAATCAGAAAAAATCAGGGGGAAAAAAAAAAAAAACCTAGCCATATAACAAAGTTAATTTTTTGTTGCAGGACTTCTCAGGGCCCTTACAATGCTAATGTATATTGTAACTTGGCCAAAGTGGGTTAGAGAATGTAAGCGTTACCCAACCTTCTTATCCACAAAGTCATTTCTTCAAGGAGCATCTCTCAGGTCTGGGGTTCCATCAAATAAACTTTGGAAAATGCTTTTGTACTACCATCTTCTATTTACCTCTTTGGCAAAACTGATCACTCTGGAACACTGTGACCCACTCCTTTCTGAGCTCCATAACATTTGTGGTCTATATTATTCATTGGAAGCACTAATCACATAGTAATTTTCCTGATTTATTTGTATACCTTATCTCCATGACCTAACTAAAAATTCTCAGAGAGACTGAGCTGCCCTGGGTCTAGCACATGAGCTATGCACAGAGCTGAAAGTCAAAAAGTGCCCATTGAATAAATGAGTGGAACTTTTCCATTATTTGAATTTCCCCAGCATTTTAATGATGTCTTCTTGCCAATGACCTTCAGAGTGTCTCCCAGTAAGCTATCCCTTTATGTTGTTCCTTTGTTTACTAGTTCACACTGAATGCCCAGAATGTTTTTTATTTTTAAGACAAAAATAACTTCTTCCCTTCAAAATTATTTCCTTGCATTCATTTGAAAATATTTGCTTATAGTTTATTTTCTATAGATGTTATCACCTCCTATTCCCATCTCCAACTCCCCATCACCCTGGGGAAACTGGGTGGTTGGGCCTGGATTTAAAGATACAGACATAAACTTTTCCATCAGCACACTGCATGCCAAAGGCTGAGGGGAAGGCTTTTTGTCTGTATGGTATAAGAAAAATCATCTTTTATTCATTTCCTGGGATTTCGAAAGCTACAGAATCAACAGTAATGCAACCCTGATGACATTTTAAAAGGATTTTCATCCAAGTGTCTTGAAAAGGTTCTGTTTGATCCTGTGACTTCAGTTGGAACCCCATAACCATCAAAAATTTAATTGTTCTTGAAATTTTAATACAAGTTTCTGACCAGTGGTCTGTAGGGAACTGGAAATATCTATAATAAAGAAGATGGAAAATGACTTAGACATGTATCGATAAGCCCAGCACTGTTGGTAATTTAATCTTTGTATATTTTGTTGCAGTCTTGCGGCAACATCTACAAAGGCCTCGCTCAGACTGGTGCCTGGGGCTGCTTTGATGAGTTTAATCGCATCTCCGTGGAGGTCTTGTCGGTGGTGGCAGTGCAGGTAGGGGCCGGAGGTTGGTGGGAGCCTCATGGTCTTTGTGTGGAGCACTGCGGACGTCTACGCCCTTTTGTTTTCAACCTCTCGTCCCCACCCACTTCCCTTTTCCCCTGACCATTTGTGCCCTCCCTCCACCCTCCAAAATCAGGCCAATACGAATGCCCTGAAGCAACCCGCCAAAGTAGATCCATTTACTGGCTGTGGGACTCTGCTTTCTTCTCTGTGAAATGGGGATACAGAATACCTGTCCTATCTGCTCTGCTGGGATGCAGAAAGGGTCAACCGAGATGGCAGCGCCCAGCTCCTTGGAAAGGTCATGCACTGTGAATACCCACCAGGGCTTAAATTTCAGCTCTTCCGCTTCCTATTGGCGTCTTGCAGCAAGTTGCTCCACTTCTTTCAGTGTAATTCACTCAATTATGAACTAAGTGAGGAGCGTGGTGTGAATGCTATCGAATGAAGTCATCTTTTGGGGTCAGATTTGACGTAAGTCTTTCAAGTCATTCAGAAAGCATTTATTAAACACCAAGGACACAGTAAGCCCCATGCTAAAGACTGGCACGCAGTTCCCCAGTTGAATAGGATGTGGTGTCTAACTTGAAAAAAACTTGAGTTCTTGGAATAGACATGAGCACTTTGAATGTTCTAGAGGTGACTTGAATTCTGACTCATAGTGTAGGACAAGATTTCCAAATACATGACTTTGAAGCCAGTCCTGGAAAGGCTGGAGAAGATTCGAATTAGGGTAAGAATCCCATAGACCAGCAGCGCCCGACTTTTTTGGCACCAGGGACTGGTTTCATGGAAGACAATTTTTCCATGGACAGGGGAGGGGGAGATGGTTTTGGGATGATTCAAGTGCATTACATTTATTGTGCAGTCAAACCTCTCTGCTAATGATAATCTGTATTTGCAGCCACTCCCCAGCACTAGCATCACCACCTCAGCTCCACCTCAGATCATCGGGCATTAGATTCTCATAAGGAGTGTGAAGCCTAGATCCCTCACATGCGTAGTTTACAGTAGGGTTCGCACTCCTGTGAGAATCTAATGCCACCATTGATCTGACAGGAGGCAGAGCTCAGGCGGTGATGTGAGAGAAGGGGAGCGGGTGTGAATACAGATGAAGCTTTGCCCACTGCTGCTGTGTGGCTGGTTCCTAACAGGCCATGGGCCAGTACTGGTCTGCGGCCCAGGGGTTGGGGACTGCAGCCATAGACAATGGGAGCAATAGAAGGGGGCAGCGGGAAGGGAATAAACCTTAGTTGAAAGTCCGTTCTGTACCAGGCACTTTTCATATTTCATCTCTTCTATCTGCACAATGGCCCTACAAGCCACTGTTATCCCCAGGACATATATGGAGAAACTGAAAACCAGAGAGGAAACGTGATGTGTCTGAGGACAGACTGCTGGAATGTGGCAAGGTTAGGGTGAGCACCCCGTGCCCCACCAGGCTGTCTGGGTGCAGGTGTGGGTGCAGGTCTGGAGTCTGGGGGGTGAAACGCTGGAGGAGGAAACAGACTGGAGAAGCAGGTCTGAACCCAAGAGCAGACAGACAGACACACCTTCCTCAGCAGGGACAGGGAACCAGGGAGACTTCTGAGAGGGACAGTGTCCCTCTAGTGGCAGCAGTTTTAAGGAGGGGTGAGCAGTGGGAAGGCTGGTGGCTGAAGGCAAATCAGGGGTCTCTTGCAGGGTCCTGGCTGGAGCTGCAAAGCCTCCCATCCCCCGGGTTCCCCCTCACCAAGACGAAGCACACTCTTTGCCGGCACCCGTGTCCGCACCCCTCTCTGCAAGCCAAGCACCCCCGTTTCCCGCTAGGGGTGGCTGGTTTCAGAGCTGCCCTCCCACCCTTCCCACCCTTCCCTCGACAAGACAAAGCCATTGCAAGGCTACCAAAGAATGACAAAAGCTATGGCGAGGTGCTCCAGACAGCGATGTGCCCTGTGTTCCTAGCATGTGCCCACACACCATACCATCAGAAATGGTTTGATTTTGCTCTTGTTTGCTTTTATTTCCAAAACAATATGTATACAGTACAGAAAAAGAAAAATGTAGCTGTGAGAGACTCTTTGGTCCCTTTAGGCCTCTGAGTAATTCTTTCAGATCCAGACAAAGGAATAAGGAAAACATTCAGCCTGACTGGCATTTAGGCAAGAGTGTGGGGTTGAGGGAGGGGACGCAGAAGGTGGGTGGGAGGAAGCTTCAGGCAGAAGGTCGTCCCTGGTGGGGGAAACTGGCTGAAGCAGCATCGTCCCCCTCCTGCTGGCCAGTCTGCCCTGGCAGAAGCCAGCCTTTACCCACAGAGCTCCCGTGTGTGGTCACCCCGCTGGTCCAGCGTGCTGTCCCTCTCACGGGTTGGCTGGACTTGGAGCTGTGGGCAAGGCTGAACAGTGGTGGGACTCACATCCCCAGCCATTTCACTGCCCACCCTAATCTCCAGCTACCCTGGGAGCCACAGGCAGTCGGGGGCTCTGTGGGGTCCCTTCACTCATTGCTCCTCCAGGGTGGTCAGTCTGTCCATCTCTCACATCTGACAGCCCCTTGGTTCTCCCACCCACTGACTCTTGTCCAAACTGTTCCTTGGCAAAGCTCTTAAAAGTTACCAAAATGCGAGGTCCTTCTGTAGTTTTCAGTGCTGAGATATGGTTTGCCCTTTCTTTAGGCTTGTTCTGTTCAGTATGAGTTAGTGGAGGAAGGAAAAACATATGGTTGGCCTAAACACTCTTTTGGATGGAAACTCTTGAATAGCTTGGCTTAAAAAAGTGGATTGTGCACATCTCAGTGGTGGCACGTTGGTGTAGCTTGAAATGGCCTATGATGGGAACATTTCCACCATGAAAACTAGTGAATTCTACAAATCAGGGGCATTTTTGTTTTCCTGGAGGGCCAGTTGTTAAACATTTACCAGCACACCCCTGCTTTGCAAGGATGTGAGCTTGGTGTTGCCAGATCTTTTAAATTTTAAAAAGAAACTGAACATCCGGGTTTTTGTAAGAAATCTATCATGTTTTCTGGCTGCTTCCACCTTCAGGTGGTCCCTTCAAAACCTGGAAGTAGGCATGAGGCCCTGTGAGTTCTGTTTAAATTTTGAGTACTAATCCATTCTGGGGTATAAGATGTAGAATGAAAGATGTAAATAAACTTTTCTCAGGGTACCAATTCTAGGCCTGGAATTGTTCTGGAAATCAGGAGAGAAGCCAAGGCTTTCACCACTGTGGCCACTGGAAATGATTTGCTTCCTTCTATTTTAACTCATAATTACACTGTGTACTGGGAGTTTTTCTCCTTACCTCTTCCACTGCAGATATCTGGTGTTTATCTTCTTCCATGTTTTTATTCCCTTGCCTATTATCCTCTGTAGAGTCTACTTACCTTCGTATCTACCTCTTCCATCTTTCCTTTTGTGATTTTCTGCACCCTCTCTCTGGCTGCTGGCCACAGAGTTTGGAGGGCATTTCCTGTTCCCACCAGTCAGGCTGTACTGCTGACCTGTGCTCACTACAGTCCAGGACTATTCATCATGAATAGTTGCACATACAGGTGTCCCGGTGCAGCGCTCAGGGCTAGGGGGTTGCCAAAAAGCTGTCTCATTGTGTGTCCCCCAAGGAGCTCTGAGGAAGATCAGATGGGGATCAGTGAGAGCTGGATGGGGGTCCGCATAAAGCCCATCTTTGGCTCCAGAGATTGAGTAAGCGAGCTCCACTTGCAGTCGGGATTTTAAATATGAGTTCTTGTACGGTGGGGTTAGCCAGGCAGTGGGGTGGGGAGTGGTTAAGTGTGTAGGCTCCAAAATCAGACTGCCAGTGTTTAACTCTGGCTCTGCCACTTACTAGCTGGGTGACCTTGGGCAAGTCCATATCTCAAGTTCCACATCTCTAAAGGGAGTTAATAATAATACCTACTTGAGGTAGTTGTAATAACTTCTAAATGAGTTAATATGCCTAAAGCACTTAAACCAAAGCACTACAGACAATGGGCATTCAATAAGTAGTGTTATGATGATAAAGGTGGTGGTGATTATGATGGTAATGATGATGGTGGAGATGGTGGTGGTGGTGGTAATGACGATGATGGTGGTGATGGTGGTGATTATGATGGTGTTAATGATGATGGTGGTGATGATATTGATGGTGGTGATAGTGATGATGGTAGTAGGGGTGGTTATGATGGTAATGATGGTGGTGGTGATGCTAATGATGGTGGTGATGGTGATGGTGATGATGGTGGTGATGGTGATGATGATGATGGTGGTGATGGTGATGATGATAGTAGTGATAATGGTGGTGGCTGTGGTGACGAGGATGACTACTGTCATTATTATCTGACCACTGCAGAAAATGGGTTGCAGAGAGGTATGTGACTGGTACACACAGGCCAGGGAAGGAGGGTTTGCACCCTGGTCTTACAGATCTTCTCTGTGCCCTTCCTTCCCTCTCAGCTGGACTGGCCTCAGGGCTGCCTTACCAGACTTCACAGTGTACTAACCGATGAGACAGTGACCAGCAGTCATTGCCCCCCTTGCATAGTAGATAAACACTGAATTCACCTTTTCGTGAAACTGCCCAACTCGAGGTCAGTAATGGGTTCTCTAAGATCAGTTAGTTCCATTTTATTTCTGGAATTAATTGAAATAAATTCAATCTGGAATTCCCTGATGCTGTCACATTCTAGTCCAGGAACCCACCCATAGGAGACCTTTCTCAAGAAAGTGATCTGACAACAGCCTGGGCCAAATCTGAGCTGGTTAACATTTAAAATCACGTACCCATCCAAGGAGAAAATCGCACTTAATTATTCACACGGTAATCCAGGCTGGCATATTGGTTCAGAAGCCACACCAGCTGCCGACATTTCTGTGTCACCCTCCCCCTCCTCCTCCCCGCTCCTTGCCCATCTGTGCTCCTCTTCCAGTAACTTCTACAGAAGCGATTATGCTGCTAGCCTGGTGCCTTTGCCTCTGGATAGTCTCGTGTCTCTGTCAGAGTGGTCAAGCAGAACTG